TAAAGTTGACATTCTGATTTGGTTGATTATATCTACTTTCAGTTTGATTAGAAATCTCAATTGGAGAGGGACGATTAATGCAAACCCCTAGCATGTCACTTTTCCATTTTACTTGCTTTTGACTTATGGTCCCAGCTTTGGAATTGAGGTATCTGGGTCTCCAGGGGCTAGTTCAAGACTCTTTTGAACTGTGCTCATTATCATCCTCCCCTTCAACATCAAGATGCTTTAATCAAGTTGGTGTGCTCTGAATCCTGACGTATTTTTTAAAAAGTTCTTTTGAGGTTTTCTGATTCATCTCATCAGTCCTTTTGCGAGGTCTGAATTTTAGGGTGAACTTTGTTTTACTCAAACCAGACCCTCCTACTCACTCCAGGGTGATAATTGTCCTAGTGCAGAGTTTTTCAACTTCAGAACTACTGACATTTTGAGACAGGCAATTCTTTGTTGTTGGGAGGATGTCATCCTGTGGAACGTTCAGCAGCATTCTTGGCCTCTACTCACTAGATACCAGTAGCATTCTCTCCTCCTCTCACTTCCCAGACTTTGCCAAGTATCTCCTGGGGGACAAAAGTCACTCGAGTAAGAACTACTTTTCAAGTGGAAAATGTACAAGATACAGCAAGAGCAGAGGAATGCCTCTGTCTTTTTGACCAGGTAGGCTTCCCAGTGGAAGTGGCATTTGAGCTGAGTTTTGCAGAATAGGTTTCCTGGTGGTCATGGAGAAAAGAGTTTTTAAGGCACAAACAGGGAGATGCTCATGGCCCTCTGACACATTTTGACCCAAATATGGTTTGATTTTCTACCACTCCCACTAATGCCCTCAAACATCTAGAAATCACTGGAGAGACCTGGCTTTTTCCCTATGTCAGTGCCTTTATTATTGGATACAAGTGGATTCCACTGCCATATGCAAAAATTTTGCTTTTGCTGGTTTTACTTACTATGCTGTGCACCATCATTGAAAATAGGATTGGATTCCCAAAGGAAATTACATTGGAAACGGGTCATTTTCTCTCCAGCATTATGTCTACACTTTGGGTAGATGAGAGGGAGTATTATGCTGTGTGCTGCATGAATATGTCTGATTCAGTGTTATGAGGAATTTTAGGCATCATTTCAGATTACCATATGGTGGTCTGTGGCAGTTGTTGCACACTCATGAGAAGGGACCTAAGTTCTACCTCACCTGAGATGTGACTCATCTGGTGATGTATAGATCCAGGGGTGGGGTAAGAGGAATCTGGAAGGAGAGTGGGAGAAAGAAATTTAGAGCATCCTTTGCTAGAATACAAAGTAACATTGATGGATGGTAGGATTCTCACAGCAAGGGTAAATGAATCACACCAAAACATCAATGAGTTTGGTCATTTATTGATGCCACACAAAGGCAGGCTTTGATTACAGTCTAGTTTTAAGCACTGAGATACTCACCAAGGTACCCCTTAAGGAGGATGGGGAAGGGAGACCAGCAAAGCAGCACAGAGATGCAGGGAGGGCAATGGGTTGGGTCATGTATGTCATACAACCACTTTAGAGGACCATGATAGATAAGACTGTGCTTCCTCCACCATGTTTTTTTTTAATGACATAACTTAAAATAACAATACTTGAATTAGCAATACAAACAACAGGAGTAGCATCAAATATGTTGGCTACGCTATAGCACCAGGCAGTTTTATGTCACGTGGTCTCTCCCTCAGAAGTGTATCATTGTGGACCAAGCACCAGATACATCATCCCAGAGATTCATATTCAGGTCCGAAAGGAGAAGAACTAAGATCTGCACTCTCTGGGATAGTAATGTGTAGCTTTCAAAGTTTGGAGGATTTTAGTCAATTGAATGGGAAGTTATGTTCTGAAACCCTCAAATTGTGTTTCAGATACTTGATGAAGGTTATCAGAAACATTCCCTGACTATCTGAAAGCATTACAGTGGAACGTTAGTGGAGACCTGGCTGTCTCAGGAGATTGGACGGAGGTGTGCTCTTGTTTAAGAAGATTCATCACAAAACAAAACATTACTACAAAGGGAAGCAATTCTTGTACCATGAAAGAATTTCCTGATTTAAGAAAGTATTCACTAATAAGTTTCTTGGAATATTATTCTCTCGTGGTATGTTTAATTATGGTTTTATGTTCAAGAATTAAATTAAACCACAACTTTTCAGAGAAGAGTCAACTCTATGCTATGACAGGCAATGTAAACCAAACTGTTTTTTAGAACCTTAACATATTTAAGCACCAGGCTCTGTGGTGGCCCTCTCTGGCTCATGCAAGATATGTATCCAGTGTTTCTTGATACACTTCTCACTTGCTTGTTCCAATGGGGAAGAGAGGAGGACCTGGATAAAGAAAACCAACAATTCTGCTCATGTCAGCCCCCAAGCATCAAAGATATGAAGACACCATCCAGGTTCTTGTCTTCAGAGTCTTCCTGTTGATCTGACCCCTCTTGCACTGCAAGCACTAGGACCTGTCAAAATACCACGGGCCAATTGCTGAGTAATCACCAAGGCAATAGCCAGTGGGACAAATAACTCCTACAACAAACACTACCTTCATCCTGGAGTCCAGAATGGTAGGCACCACACAACCATCTCATAACACAGCCTCACTACAAGAAGCAAATGTCTGACATGTAATTAAGGGCCAATTTTCTGCCTTTGAGAAACTGGAGAAAAACCTGGAATGGAGCACCTAGCCAAGCCCTCTCCATATGTCTACTAATCTTCTCCACCATGTGTGATCTATTTTGTATGTTGGGAAATTTGGCCTAGTGTAGTTTGTTGAGGTCAGTAAGAATTCAGATTTGTTCCTGAGTTTTGTAAGCCTGGTCATACCCAGGTATCTGATGACATGTATTTGACCCTATGCTAGTACAGTACCAGGTTAAGTTAGATCAATCCAGTTTACTAAATGAATACCTCTGAAAGCCTACACTACACTTCAGGAACAGTCTCTGTAAATTGATATTAGAAAATATCAGATTCTTCTCCACTCATGTCACTAACAATTTAAGTGTCTTCTATTCTCTAAAAATGTTATTTCAAGATTTATGTTTAAAGGCAGAGAATACAATAATGTAACTATCACATAGAAATAAATGACCTGGCTTTAGGTAAACGTTTCAACTTTTCTCCTGTTGCTGTTCTATCTTGAATTTCATCCCAACCTCAGTGTTTTACTTTCCACAGGAATTTATCAGAATAATATACATTAATTGCTTGAAAAAAAAATAAAAAGCACATACTATAAAATTTTAAATTCAAGGTACCCAAGCAATAGAACTGGCATTGGCCAGCAACACCATTACACATTTAACAGAAGATGTATATGTAGATTTCACATACAATTACTCATTTGTATGCCTATCTATATGTTTATATTACTTCTGCCACCATCTAGATATTAGCACCATTTCTCAATAGCACCATTCTGCTGAATGGATAGATAATTAAAGGAAGATAGGGGACATTGTGATCCATGGTGACTATTAAGTGTATCTGTGTATGAGTCAGAAAATTTGTGGCCCATAGCATGAAGTCCCCACCCCTGCCTTTCACCCTGTCAGAAATTGGTTCTGAGGTCTAATTTCCCTTGAAACATACAACTACAACCCTCTACCTACACACCCACCCCCTTTCTCTGGGTTCAGTTCATGAAGTACCTCCCCATAGAAATAAGTTCGCCTGGAAATTTGCTTTGAATTTGAGACCACAGCCTACTTTGACTTCTGATAGGTAGTAGAAACATCCAGAACCTTCTTTCATTTCAGATTTTTTGGACTCCATCACTTGCCTATGCCATCCAAGTTAAAAGATCTTTAATACTAACTACATACTGGGTACGTTGAGTAGATCATCTTTATCTCATATTTTAGAATTTTTTTTTCTTTTTCTTCTACACTTGAACTTGACACTAAGTTCTTGCACTTAGTACAACTGACCTGGTTTTTGGAATATTTTAATCTAGATCCTCATTTCTCACCCTGGGGGGAGGTAAGGGCAGGTGTCAGCCTAGAGCTAGTGGTAGTAGTCTTTGTGTTTAAACCCCGGCAACCACATGGTGGTGGGACCTGAGCTCATGCTTCAGGTGGGGATTGTGCAAGAGAGGGAAAGGCAGACAGGAAGACTCATTTGCCCTTCTGTGAAGGAATGGGTGTTTTCCAGGAAAGGAGGAAGAATAAAGGCCCACATTTCCTTTTTTATAATAATAAGAAACTGATTTTTGTTCATTTGCTTCTAAAGAATTTTTATAGAAATTGTCCTTAAGTCAGAAATGTTTTCTGTGTAATTAACCTAATTCCCTTAGGGTACACTTCCTGTGTCCATTTACTCATACTCTAGTGTCACAAGGTTGGCAGGAGACTCTAACAAGGCCAGATACAGAGTCCTACAGGGATGGAAGAAGAGTCTGAGGATGAAACCAGTAATTTCTCTTCCTGCCCTAGTTGAAGCCTAGGTGAAGAAAGAGGTCCTCTGCCTGGATGAGCAAAAGGGATATTTCTCAAAACTCCTCCATGACATTTTAAACAGCAGCTGACCCAGACAGGAAGAAAAAAAAAAAGAGGATGTACTCAAGGCAAATTAACAAGATTATCTGTTCCCTGGGTAAGTGTGGCTCTGTTTCCTGACAATCTTGAGGTAGTCTGGGAAAAATCTGGTCTTTTTGTGTTTATTTCTAAGAGAGAGAGAGAAAAAGACATCATTTCACAGACTCGCCTAATCTGGCACCTTTCCCAGGAGCTGATCCCAGGGGATGTCTGATTGTCTTGGGTGTTTCACTTTCTTGTCAGGGAGCAGCAAGTAAGACAGTGCAGGCCTCCTGTGAAGGACATTTTGCGGCTAGAGGAATTTTGTTTTGTTATGTTATGAATTTTGTTTCGTTATGACCCAAAATTGAACCTGAAATATGTAAAGTGAAACCTTAATGAAGTGGTCCCCAAGGTTAAAGCATGTCAGCTGCAGTCTATGGTGAAGGGTGGCTTCCTTCTGGACTTAGAGTGCTTTGGGGTTTTTCAGCAACTGTTGCTTTCTTTGCCTTTGGGAGTGGGTAATGTGCATCTGGGGACACGAGAAGCAGCATTGAGCCCTCACAGTGGGCACAGAACATTTCTTCATGGCTTTTAGTGTCTGGCAGAAATTGGCTGACAGCTTGTCCTTGGTGCAAAGTAAATCTGTGGGGGAAAAAATCCAAAGATTATCCTTTGTAGGATGAATGAGCACAACTTGTATTAATATAAGACTTTATATGGACTACCAAGAAAGGATTCATAACAATGCACAACAATAGTAGATAGCCACTGGATATTTATTATGTATCCGACAATGTGCAAAGTGCTTATGTTAAACTGAATTATCAGTCGCAATTCTTCACTCCTGGGTAGTTGTGTTATAATGGTACATTCCCTCCCTTGCCACAGCTGCCTGGTGGGTCGCAAATACTTTCCCACTCCTGGACTTTGGGTTCAGCCCTATGACTTGCTTTGGAGAATGGGATGCTAGCAGACATGGTTCTGCAGGGACTTAGGATGAGTCTGCCCTAATGAGCTTCCGCTGTCACCATATGAAGAACCTGGCTTGTGTAGCCACCAAGGAAGGTGAGAGACACATAGAACAGAACTAGACCCAACCTACAGCTTACATCCAAGTCCATCCAAAGCCAAGCTCAACTGGTTGAACCTTGGCTGGCCTATGGGTGCTGAGTAAAAAATAGATGACTGCAGTTTTAAGCCCCTGATTGTACTTTGCTACACAGTATTGCTATGACAATAGTTAAAGGCAGTGTCTTACATGCATCGCTTCATTTAATCTTCACAGCAGTACTAGCAAGTGAGTATTTTTTCCACTTCACAAATGAGGAAAGTAAGGTGTTGGGCCGTTAAGAACTTGTACTACGTTATCCAGCTGATAAATGGCGTCGCCAGATCTGAACACAGGCAGTTTTGATTCTAGACCTCATGCTTTTCTTGATTATACTGTTCAGAATACCAAGCAATACCACTCAGTTAAATACCCAGTGCTTCCTGAATACTGCTAAACAGAATGAAGGATACAGATACATAAGTTGCAGTCACTGCCCTCCAGAATAGGACTATCAAGATGAAGGCAGGAGACATATACAAATAAATCCCGTAGTAAGTGTACAATCAGTTACCGGAGTTCTAATCTTTGTTTACTCTAACTAGCTCTGAGCATTAAGTAAGTTCCTTAATTTTCTTGGCCTTACTTTCCTCATACACAAATCAGGAAATGAGAGGAGATGGCTCAGGGACCGCCCACATTCGCTTTGTATGGGTGGCACTCAGCACTGGCCTACATATTTCTGGTCTGAAAGGAATTCAATGGGGTTCAAATTAGATTTTCCTTCTAGAAAGTGAAATTGTTTCAAGCTTGGCTTGAGTGCTTCTTGGAGCTCTCGTTGCCTTTCTTTCTCCTTTACAAAGAAAAGATTTTCATAGTTCGGAAGGAAAGCACATTCACATACAGGCCACTGTCCTTTGTAAATAGAACAATCAGAAAAAGTCGAAATTGGAAGTAATGTTGTCTTCATCTAAAACCTGTTGCAGTATTTTTGCCTCACTATGCTTTTTTCACCTTTAGATCATAAAGGCAAAAAATGCTTTTTATCTCCTCAGAATGCCTCATGCTTTTGATTGTGCCTTATGTTTTGTGAGGGGGGAAAAAAGTCTTCTGTTAGAATTCTAAATTTGGAGCCCAGGTTTCAAGTACACTTAGGGATAGGTACCATAGAATTCTCCTAGAACCCCAAACCTCAGTCTTCATTGCTGGTTCATCTCTTCTTCAGCCCTCTTCTTTAAGCCTGTTATTTTAAAAAATCAGTCTCTCCTAAAATCCCGCAGGAAATTGACTTACACCCTCTGAAGTTTCAGAAAGAGGACATGTTTTGACCAAGCGCTCCTATTGTGGAATATCCTCTTGAGCTCTTCATCTCCCATGTCCCCCCTACAGTAGTGGGCATTCTTCATGGAGCCTGGGCTGTGCATCCTGTGGGCTGCTGATCAGAATATGTCAAAGCTTCCTTCTCAGGTTTTGAAAAGTTCCCAACCCCAAGTATCACACAGCCGGCCCTATTTCTTAGTCAGCCTCTCCTGAAGTCTGTGGATGATGGAGAAAGCACATGTAGGGTAACTCCGCCCCATGCCGGCTTTGCTGTGAGTACATGAATGTGCTGGGGCTACTGTGAGGAAGGAGGAAAACAGAGGCAGTGTGGAGACTCAGCTTGCACCCCGCTGCTCCACAAAGCTTCTTTTGGCCTTAAAGACCCACACGAATCCCTTCTGTCTCTATCTATAATCAGCATCATTATTGCATCATGTGTTCCAACATGGCACCACACTCGCTCTTGAACTGTACTGAAATGGCATGTGAGCCTTTTCTGCTAAGGGTTTAAGTGTGGTTTCTCACAGGTGCCTGCCATTATAAAAAGGGCCTCTAGGAGGCCCCCAAAGTCTTTGCTCTTGTTGTGAGTTGAACTGTATGTTCATTGTTGTGAGCTGAACTGTATGTGTTCTTTTACATGTCCCCCAAAGTTGAAGTCCTAATCCTTGGTACCTGTGAATATGACCTGATTTGTAAATAGAATCTTGGCAGATGTAATTATGATGTCAATTAAAGTGAAGTCATTCTGGAGTAGGGTGGGCTCTTAATCTAACAAGAATCGTGTTCCTATAAAAAGAGGAGAAGAGACACAGAGGCAGAAATACACATAGAGGAAAAAGCTGTGTTCAGACAGACACAGAGAGGGAAGGTGGTCATGTGATATTAGAGTCAGAAACTGAAGTGAAGTAGCTTTAAGCCAAGGAAAGTGAATGATTGCCAGCAACCACCAGAGCTTGGAGAATGAGGGTAGCCCAGCCAATACCTTGATTTTGGACTTCTAGCCTCCAGAAACGTGAGCGAATACATTTCTGTTGTTTGAAGCCACCCCATTTGCGGTAGTTTGTTTTATGATAGCACTAGGAAACTAATACATCCCTTCCTCCATGAAAACAGTTACAACAACATAGATAAAATTTATTAAGCATTTCCCACACACTAGGCGATGCTTTGATGAATGTACGCTACACCATTTGATCCACACAGAAATGCACTTGTAGGTACAGCTGTTTTCCTGCTTTGAAAAACTGAGGGTTACAGAGAGGCTTAGCAACTGGTCCAACATCATATAGCTGGTATGTAGACTGTGTTGCTGGAATTTGAACATTGTCTCAGTGCCTCTAAAGTTTGCCTCCAAGAGAATGAATCTCTTTTACAGGTGATGGGGTAGGAAGCGATCATGCAGACAAGTCTTCTCTGTCCAGAACATCTTCATTTGCTCAACACAGAAATCCCACTTCTTGGCAGGTTAGGTCAACACCCCAATGACTGAAAGACTCAACCAAGCCCGGTATCCTTACCTGATCTTGGGAACCATGAGATAGAGACTTACTCTTCAGTAGTCCTCAGGGCCTGGAAACATGCTAGGTCCTGGGGGTCCTACTGTTTGAGAGTGGGGGACCAAAAGGAAGATTGAAGGATGAGCATGGCTTGTATTGGGAGTTTGTGTTCCAGGCCCATGTTCAGCAGCTCATTTAGACAATGACTGTGAGCCCAAGATCATGACAGGGCTTAATTACATCAGTTCTTTTCAGTATTATAAAATAATGAATGCTTGTTATGTTCACCAGTCAACTGGATCCCAGTTCCAAAATCCATACAATGCTTATAATTAGGGCAGCTTAGAGAGGCGATCCCACTTTGCCTCTGCCTGTTCAATAGTAACTAGACTTGGAAATTTAAAAGGACAGTTATATGCCTGTTCCCTTGCTGTCAGTTGTATTATGTTGAGGGGATAATATTTTGTCCATGAAAGAAGATTGAAACACAATGTCAATGTTGTTGACAAATGGACTTTCCATAAAACTTAGGGCTCCTTGAGGCCAGGAACTGTGTCTTATTTATTTCTTTATCCTAAGCTTTTAGTACTTGTCTGAGATAAATCTCGTGATCAGTAATGTTTCCTAAATAAATAAATACATGAAATTCTATTCATCTGGAAGAATATCTTTCACTAGACAATTTATTGACTCAAATGTTCATCTGTATCAACACTGGATCTAAGTTGTGTTCCAATTGTTTTTCTTGCCTTTTCTGCCCCTCACTCCTCAAGCTAAAACAATGACAATGAAATAACTCCAGGAATGGCATCCAAAAGAGTTCTGCTTTGAATTTTTAATCCATATGAATGTAATGCCTGGAATATGAGTGCAGACAATCAAGTTCGTGAACTCATCCTAGAAAAAGGGTACCATACCTCACTGCTGAATATCACTATGGTCATCTTCAAAGTACTCTCCTTGGGAAGCCATGCACTGATGCCAGTGCCTAGTCCACCCATCAAAACAATTCTGGAACTCTTTTTCTAGAATGGCCATCAGAGCTGTCATTGTATTACCCCTGATATCCTGAGTGCCATCAAAGTATCTTCCTTTCAATATTTTCTTTATATTCAGGTAAAGAAAAAAGTCATTGGAGACCAGATCAGGTGAGTTAGGGAGGGTGTTCCAATACCATTATTTGTTTACTGGCTAGAAACTCTCTCACAGACAGTGCTGTGTGAGCTGGTGCATTGTGATGCAAAAGCTCCTTTGGGAACATTTTTGCATTCACCTTTCTCATACCAAGATTTTCTGTTAAGATTTCCCGGTTTCTATATCAGTGTTTGCTTGGTCTGCTATGCTTCTCATAGTCAGCCAACAATTCTGATGCACAATTCAGCAAATTTTTGCAATGTTTCTGTCCATTCTGCTCATTACTGGCCGTCCTTACCTTTCTTCATCAGTGATACTTTTTGTTCCCCCAAAAAAATCAGTGACACTTTTTGTTCCCTTAGCCTATTTGGACACTGCCATTTTCTTCATAGCATTATCCCCAAGTCCCTGATTTCACTTCCACTCTTGCTAAGTTTAACAAGAAATTTAATGTTTGTTCACTGCTCTAATGCAAACTCCAGCATTCTTGCAATGATAGTTCTCATGACCATTCCAGAAAGAGTTCCAAAATTGCTTTGATGGTGGGCTAGGTGCATAGCCTCCCAAGGGGAATATTTCAAAGACAACCATAGTGATAATCAGGAATGAGGTATGTAGCACTTTTTCTGGGATGAGTTTGGGAACTTAATTGTCAGACCTCGTATAACTAATACTCAGTGAAATACATTTTCTTGATTTCCTTTTTTACACAAATGTCGTGAAAGGGATTTGTAGTCACTAATATGGGAATGGTAGCTCCAATTTTAATTTTAAGTCATTAAAAATTCAGATGGCAGGCAACCCCTTTGGGTTCCCTCCCACTGTGGGAGCTTTTTTTGTCCTCTCAATAAATCCTGCTTTCTTAAAAAAAAAATTCAGATGACATCTAAAATAAGTAAAATGGCCAGGAGGAACGAAACCTTATATGAATTCATATTTGACCCTGTAAGATGGACAAGAGGTATGTTTATTGTGACGGCTCACTGACAAGAATCTAGGCTTGAATGCATATTTTCAAAGCATTTTAGAGGGTATAGGGGTTAGGGTGAGTAGCTGGTTTATTAAATCAAAGAATTTATTGCAACTGCTTTTTTGTGTTGCTTCTATATGAGTAAGCATAGCTCTGCCTTCAAGAGAAATTAGTAATTAACTTTTGTTGCTCTGATAATGATCAGTGAGTGGAATTCATTGTTAATCACATCGATTGCCAGCCAACCATTAGTCACCATCAATTTAGTGTGAGATTTCAAGTTGAAAAATACCATCTGTGCATTTAGCCCAGTTTTGATTATTGAAGACTGTATTATCCAGCAACAGGGCGGTAAAAGAAAATCTACCTATAATTAAAAATAACAATCCCTAACACTAAGCATGATCAACCATGGTGGTTGCTTCAGTTAAACAAAAAATAACACAACATAGAAGGGATGCCACAGCATTAGCATTATAAACATGGTACCATAGAAGGTGACGAGATGAAATGAAAGGAAGAGAGTCTTAAATTGGCCCCTTGGTCTAGAACAAGGTGCTTCTCAAACTTTAATGTGCATCTGAATCACCCGGGTCTTATTTAAATGCAGATTCTGGTATCTTTTTTATAGAGTGATTTGAGTTCTTCAGGGCATATCCCCAGTAGGGGGATTGCGGGGTCATATGGAAGGTTGATTTTTAGAGCTTTTAGGAATTGCCACAGTGATTTCCACAGAGGTTGCACTAGTTTACACTCCCACCAACAGTGTAGAAGTGTTCCCTTTTCACCACATCCTCTCCAGCATCTGTTATTTTTTGTTATTGATAATGGTCATTCTGACTGGAGTTAGGTGGTATCTCAGTGTAGTTTTAATTTGCATTTCCTTGATGACTAGTGAGGTTGAAAATCTGCACATGTATGTTTATCACAGCACTGTTCACAATAGCAAGATCATGGAATCAACCATGTTGTCCATCAAAAGAGGACTGGATTTTAAAAATGTGGTACATATACACAATGGAATATTACTCAGCCATAAAAAAAAGAACAAAATCATGAATTTTGCAGCAACCTGGATGGAATTAGAGTTTTTAATACTGAGTGATCTCTCATAGAAACAAAGATCTGAATATCACATGTTCTCACTCATAAGTGGACCTTGAACAACTACCGTAATACTATAAGAAAAGGATTGACAGTGGCAGGAAACTATGGGGGGGACAGGGAGGGGAAGGGAGATTGGATTAATGGTAGTCAATATCTGTCTGGGGATGGCGGGGGCACACCTCATCAACAAGGGTACCTGAACAATGCATATTTGTATACCTAACCCTTAACTGTACCCCACAGTTTTAAAATAAAAAATAAATAAATGCATATTCTGATTCAGGAGGTCTGGAGTGAGGCTGGGATCCTCAAACTCTCAGGAGATGCCAGTTCAGCTGGTCCAGGACAACACTTTGAGAAGCAAGAGTCTGGAAGACTAAATATTAATAACATCTCTGACAATGAGCTGAATGTGGCTGCTTTTGGCATTTCAGGTAAGGCTAATGAAAGCCACCACAAGTACAAGTCAGAAAGACACAAGTGACAATCATACTTAAACCATTTTGTTCCTCCATGCATTTCAGTCATGATTCTCAGCCCAGATCTCTCACTTGCCCTCCACATCTCTGCAGCAAATGAATCACCGTATGATATACCTACCTAGATGATTCACAGGTCCCTCAACAAACAAGTCCCAGACAGAATTCATTACCTTCCCCCCTTCCAAACCTACTCCTAGGCTTCCTCTCTCAGTGCCTGGTTGCTTCATCTCCTCAGTAGCTCAAGTCAGAGAAATATGGGCATTAGCCTTTCTCTCCTTTCTCCCAGCACAAAGGCCTGTCAAATTTTTCTTTTAATTAGCTCTTGAATGTACTTCTATCTGTCTGCACTTCTATTGCCCTACTTCGTGCCATATAGAACATCTTCTGCTTAGTTGCAGCCTCCTAACTAGTCTTCTGTATCCTCCACATTGCATCCAGCATAACTTTCTTTCTTTCTTTTTTTTTTGACTTGGAGTCTCACTCTATCACCCAGGCTGGAGTGCAGTGGTACGCTTATGGTCACCCCACTATCGACCTGCTGGGCTCCGGTGATCCTTCTCTCTCAGCTTTCCGGCCTTCCTCAGCTGGAACTACAGGCATGTGCTACCATGCCTGGCTAATTTTTGATTTACTGTAGAGACAAGGTCTCGTCAAGTTGCCTGGGCTGGTCTTGAACCTGCGGGCTCAGGCAATCCACTCACCTCAACCTCCCAAAGTGCTGGTATTACAGGCTGAGCCACGGAGCCCGGCCCCTCAGCATTAACTTTCTTATCTTCACTCCCCTATTTGGGATTCTTCAATGACTTCCTTCCTCCCTAGGGATAAAGTCTAAAATCATCAGCATGCTTCCCAGGGCCTTTTATTCTCTAACTCCAGCTTCCCTCTCCAATCCTATAATTTCCAAACTCTCCTTGAACTTTGTACTTGAGTAAAATTTATGTGGCATGCCACCATCTTCTTTCCGTGTCTTCCAGAAGGTGAAAGCTTCTCCTGAAACCTCTGACCTGACCTTTATACTCAACCTTCACTTCTTCTGTAGGCCTTCCCTGTTCTCCCTAATTTATGTTTGATGTCCTTCCCAAGTAATCTCATAACATCCCTTACCTCACTTCTCATAGTGCCTGTCACTGGTTTGTAGTTTTGTTTTTTGTATGACATTCTGTCTAGCATGTAGTAAGTGTCTGACAAATATTTGTCGAATAAATGCATGCTTTGTAAATAAACCAATCCTAGGAAAAAATATCTCAGGATATTAACTCTAAGGGCAGTCTCTGTTGGATGCCTCAGTACTTGGAAGGAAGCATATATTTCACTACTTCTCATTTTTAAGAATCTGCAGAAAAAGACTGCCACTGTGTACTACCACTATGCTACTTTTTCAGGAGCAGCGTGGTCCTTAGTTGATGTTGCCTAGTTGGGTTATTTAATTAGGGGCAGAGTAAATTCATGTAGACGTTGCTGTACTGTATCCCAATTGCTGTACTATATCTCCATGAGGCATTCTCCTCTTTGTAACAAATGTAAGTAAAATATCAAAAACATCTTCTCTCTGTCTGATAACTTTTTTCCAGGTTTTTAATTTAATTTGAAAATTTTGCATGTAAATGGAGCCCAAAATGTAAATGGACCAGTGCAATGGATATTAGAGTTTGTGGTTGAACTCAGGAAGCCTACAGGAGCTCCACATAGAGAGCCTCCTGCAAATTCACATCTCCCGGTGTAACCTTTGGCCACTGGGTGAAGAGTGTGAAAGTCCAGCTCACTGGCTCAGGAATGGACAACTCTGAGGCATAACTTACACTCTGGAGCTCTCTTGTGGGACCAGGATGGACCTAGGACTCACGGTCCTGAGAGGGTACCTTGACTATGCCTCCCTCCTTTTTCTACCTGCTTTCTTCATTCCCTTAATGGTCTTCCCTGGGAACACTTATTTAATGAACCACTTGCATGCTAGATTTACAGGGAGGACCATTCCATCCTTGACTGGGCTCCTAAGAAAGGTTAGAACATCTCTCAGACATCTTTGAAAACATAGAAGTAGTTCCCATTCTCATGTGGGATGATGTCAGTGTGAACATGCTTAGAAAAATTGGTGAAATAATCTCTCAAGGAATTAGAGTGAAACCTCACCAAATCAGACAGCTTGTTCCCAGAGATGGTGGCTGCCTCTTCAGCATTACAATTCTCTATTCAGGAAAAGGAATGTAAAACTATCTACAAGTTGAATCATACAGGATGACTTGTTTGTGATAAGCTGTCTTCCCCCCTTGAGCAAACCCATTCACTCACCAGCACTCTTCCTGCAGGCCTGCTGGTTGCACTTTTGGGATTCTGGAGGTCTGGGTTCATGATCACACAGGCACTGGTCATGATCTTTAGTTTTATTGCTCCCTGAGGGGACACAATGGACAGTCCTCTTCTGAAAGCCACCTCCACAGGAAGTGGTGCACTGAAAGAGAGGTGTATAGAAAGTCAGAGTTCTTCCTTAGGACCACCAAGAGAACACCAGCAGAGTACTTTTAACCCAGTTGTGATTAAGGATGGGAAAATCTCAATTACAAGAAACCTTTCCGAAGGAGGTATAGAATAAAGGTACTAGTCATTTGGGACATGAATTTAAGAAGAGTCCTACATTATATGTTGTATAGATTGAATTTAGATTAGTTTACTATTGAATTCTCTGAAGAACATAACCCCTCTTTCCCACACTTGAGAATGGCCTGTAGCCTTATACTACATGGCCATAAAACTGGGATCTAGGAACTCATGTTAATACCATGGGACCCTGCCACCTGGCTGCACATGATTGGTCCAGGGGAGGATCACTGAATCAAGCAGGGCCAATCGGTCACTTCCTTGGGAATTTGGAAATGAAACAGAGCAAGACAGTCCACCTGAGTCTGAAATACAAAAATTTGGCTGCAGTTGGTGGCCACATTTCCTGTCACGTAGGAGAAGTAGAGAAAACAAGATGACAGAAAATGTGAGTGGAATGAAGCCCATGCTTAGAGAGGAATGGGAATGAGAGAGGTGTGCTTATGGGGTTTATGCCCTTGGTTCTAACTAAAATTCCCCACTGAAACGCTTATCTTTGCATCATGAATACATGGAGTGAACCATATGAAGAGAGTTTGAATTGCAAGCAAAAAAGAAGAAAACTTCATATCTGGAAGTAGGGACAGGACTGAGCATGGAGACTGAGGAAGCAGCAGGGCAGGAACAGACCCTGGGTCTGGGCCTAGGTGGACCACGTGTGGTCTCAAGCCATGCTAACAGTTAAGGTTCCACTGCAATGTCATGACTGGCCACCTGGCAGCAGGAGGGGGATACAGTATATATAAGCAGTCTGTGGAAGCAGTTTATATAACCTGACTCTTGAAGATGTAAGAAAATGTGTCTGAATTTACCACATATATTCTTTTCTTAAATTATTATTTTTTTAGGTAAAATATATAAAACATAAAGTTTACCATTTTAACTATTTTTTAAAAGCAGGATTTATTGAGAGGGCAGATAAGCTCCCACAGTGGGAGGGGACCTGAGGGGTTGCCCCATTTTAACTATTTTTAAGTATACAGTTCAGTGACCTTAAGAAAATTAATACTGCTGTGCAACCATCACCACAATCTATCTCTAGACATTTTTCATCTTCCCAAACAAACTCCGTACCCATTAAACAAGAATTCCCAGGCCCCACTATCACCCTCAGTTCCTAGCAACCACCATTCTATTTTTTATCTCTGAATTTGACTGCTGTAGTTATTTCATCTAAATGAATCATATGGCATTTGTACATTTAGAACTGGCTTATTTCAATTAGCATAATGTCTGAGTTTCATTCATATTGTAACATGGGTCAGAATTTCCTTTTTAAGATGGAATAATATTCCATTGTATGTTTATATGTTTTGTTTATCTATTTATCCATTAATGACATTTGGGTCATTTCTACATATGGGCTATCATGAACCACATATACTCTTAAGATTGACATTTTATATCATGTTTTCTCACTTTTAGTCTAATTTTTATTATATTACCAAACCTCCCAGAGGACAGAAACGAATTTCTTTTTCTTCATACTTCACAGCAATTAGCATGACATTCAGTATATTCACTGAACGATTGGCTGTAAAGACTGCTGCATGGAAAATTCTGGAAACGTCACTTGGCTCAAAAGATTTCATTTGCCATTTAAGACACTATTGGACACTCAGTTCGCGAATAAGATAATACCCACACCGGGACACCACTGGTTTACTCAGAATACTGCTACCCAAATCCTGTTTTTCACAGATATCTCCCATACAGAAGGTAAGAGAAGCATCACTTTATTAAACATCTATCACTATATTTTATTTTACTCTTTATAAAGCCTAGAGCATGATGATCAGCAGGGAGGCTTGTGTTTGCATTATGAAGCCAGAGTTTTCTGTGATTAAACTTGAAGGTAATTTTCTTTAGTGGATTCACCTCAAATTCTCCGTGGATGTGGGGGAGAAACAAAGAGTAAGAAATAACTACTCAGTTGGTCTTGAGTAAATAAAAGTCTGCAACAGAGGACAGAAGAAAGAACAATGGAAATTAATTAAGTCAGAATCTGAAAAAGTACTAGACAAGAATTTAGGAGACTTGGGCCTTCTTGCTTACTGTTCTGAATCATTCACTCCAGCTTTCTCTTTCTTCTTCTGTAAAATAAGACTGCCACTTACAGACCAAAGGACTTCCTTTCCTGATTTCTTCTTCTAAGAATGGCAGGTCTTGAGCACTGAAGTCATGCGGGTCCCCATGGGCAGGGCAAATTAGGATGGAAGAGCTAATTTCAAGCCAAGCACAAAAATAAGCAGAACTCACTGTCCATGCACTTACTAGTCAATTAAAATAACTTGTAAGATGCATAAATATGTGTTGTATTTAATTGGGGGATTAAGCAGAAAGCATGGTTGTTGATTTGGGTGTTATTAATTGTAGTAATGGTGTAAATTGGGGGTTTTAGAGGAAAGAGTATATCTTTCTCCTAGGACTTCAATTTATTCCTTTCGATCCAGTAAAATCAAAGATCCTTGAGCAGAACCGAGAAACCCAAAGGGGTTAGGGCCAAACCTGACTGGCTCCTAGCTAAGTCTATGGCCCCACTGCATTGCTTATACCCTCAGCTGCAGTCTACATTAGCTTCATTCAGTCCTAGATGCTCTGTCCAGTGAGACTACAAGAGCTCTCTTCAGCCAACACTGGCTTGTTTGGGAAGCTGACTTCCAAAGTTCAACAAATAATTACTCAAATACTTCAAGCGGATCCTTGCTCTGTGAGAAGCTGTAAAAGGGATACATGAAGACTGGACTCTGTTATTGCTATGTTACAACCAACATAGATCAAGTAGAGAAATATGAAGAGAAACCATTTAATGTTTTATAATACAAACATGTTCATTGACTACCTTTCTTGTACTTTTAAACATATGGTAGGCCATGTTCTTTGCACATAGAAAATATCCTTGATTTCAATTCTTGTAACAACCACGTAATATAAGATTTGTTTTCTGGTCTTGCTAATGTAGAAACAGATTCCTGTCCCCTCCCCATCCCTTGTTTTTTTTTTTTTTTTTTTTTAATTATAGTATTTGTAGCCCCTTTCTATAGAGGCTCACTGTCTTTCAGATTTGGAAAATTTTTCTTGTGTTAATTTTTTGATAATGTCCTCACTTCTATTTTTTCTATTCTCCCTTTTAAAAATTTTATTATTTTGATGTACCTGCTGGCCTGATCCTCTCATATTCTTATTTTTTTAAATCTCAGTTTCTTTGGTCATTGCTCTCCTTTTCTTGAGAAAGTCTTCAAATTATTTTCCAAATTTCCTGCTAATTAATGTTTTACTTTTCTATTTAAAAATTTTTTCTAAGGTCTTATTCTATTCTTGAATACTCCTTTTGTATAGCTTCTTGTTCCATGTCATGGATGTAATCTTTTATTTCTCTGAAGAGATTATTGGTTTTTTGGGAGACATTCATCTAATCCTTGCATGGTCTCCATTTCTTCAGAGTTCTTTTTGTTCTGTTTGTTTTGTTATTTTGCCCTTGGTGTGAGGGGTTTTCTCAAATGTCTGGTAATCAATTCTAGGCTATCTCTTTGTGTTTCAGAATGAGTTACCTATGATCTTATTGGGAGCTACATTGGTGGTAGCTACTGAGAGGTAGCTTTACATAGGATGATCAAGAAGAGATTTTTTTTTTTTTTAATTGAGGCTAAGCTAGTCTCCTGCCTGCATTGAACTCAGTGAAGGAAGGGGGACATCACACTATTTACTGTGTGTATTTTCACTTGATTGTCTGAGAGATGAACCTTTTTGCTCCCACCAACTGTATATAATTTCAAGGTCTCTTTGGTTTACTTCTCCAGAGAGAAGAGCTCCAAGATATGGCTGGGACAAAGGAGAGACTCACTACTTCTCTTATAGACTTCTAACCAACCCTCTACCATCATCTCTGCCTTTAGAGATATCTGGACAATCTGCTTGCTTCTTATCATCCCCATGATAGAAAGATTTTAGCTTTCTCTGGTATACTAAATCAATGAAAGTTTAACCATCTGTTTACAGCTTCTCAAGTTTTATTGACCCCTCTCTCTGCTGTTGTTGCCTGCCCCATCTTTGTCTCTATGGGTTTGTACTATTTATGGTGTTTTATCCCTAATGCCTATTCAGTAGAGTTATGAAAACAGAGGCAAATGTGCATACTTTATCCATAACTTATCTTTTCATGTAACAGTAGATCATGGAGATCAGGAGTGATTCCAAAGGCTGGTTTGGTAGGTGTTAGCCACTCCTCATTCCTTCTCATTCTTTGCCATGCACAATTGATGAACTCCTGACATGTGATTCTTCTGAGAGTTCAACCCATGTCCACTTCCAACAGACTATAATCTCTAACTCCTTCAGGGAATTGATGGTGAGACTTAAAAATGTTCATTTGTAGTTTCTAATCTTCTATGAGATGTTTCTGCCTCTGAATGGGTCCAAACTTATAGCACATTCATAACTTCACATTGTATTAAATTTTTTCTTCTGAGGTCACATTTGCTTTGATTAGTGATACATATATTGTTATACAGGGCTCCAATATATTTATGAAGAGCCTAGTCCTGAAATACATCCAGGTGGCTGGGGCAAATCCTGCCCAGAGTAAGCACGGCCTCTATCTGGGCCCATGTAGGTGAAGAAGGTCACTGCTACCTTGATCTATGAGCTGTCATGATGTTAATAATAAATTTTATGACACTTATGGCTAGACTATGACACTCACGTCTTGATTGCGGTAGTGAATATTAATTAGACAACTATAGATACACATTACAACAAAAAGGCCATGGTTAAATAAGTATGGTTAATCAACTTGATGGAAAATTATTGTGAATAAACGGTTAGCACTGGACCTGGTTCAGCTTACTTGAGGGAAAAATGACCTGAAAGTATGATTCTGGCAGGGAACTACAGACTTAAGGTAAATGTGGAAAGTTATGGCTACCTTGTCTACTGGGAAATTCTTGGTGCATGGGACTGTCCCCTGCAGGGTGTCTGTGAGTTGGCATGTGGTCTGGTGACCAAAACAGTTTCAAGATAACCCATGTGCACTTTGGTTTTCATCCTTTGCCAACCATATATATTGTGTACCATTCAAGGAAGCTACTGAAGTTGTGTCCTTGGGTAGCTGCCTCCTGCAGAGATGAGGCTGTTGTGCCTAATATAGTTTCTGTTTGTATGCTTCTACACAACTAAGTAAATGTAGCGTTAGATTCAATACTTCACATGTCTGAATGTCAATGGAATGTCAATTTGAACCAGCATTTGAGGTGATTACGGTTGTGCAGATGTAACACTGCAACTATGAACAATGGGGACTACTAGGAATATAGCAACCTAAAAATATCTAGGGCCATTATGTTGAACAAAACACTGCATTTGCCCATGTTATAATTATAACCAGCAAAATACACATATACAGGAATGAATTACTTTATAAAAATGGTATGGCTGAGGCATCAGTATGTCAGACTTTCTTGGTTCCCCGACCTTCCAGTTCCTAGCCCTATAATCTGTCCCAGCTGAAGAGGCAACCAGGTTCCTGGAAGCATAGCTCAGTGGCCTGCACATCAGGCCCATGCCACATGGCTTTCACTTCCTGACTCTGGGCTTTCTTGTTGCCAGTGAGACATGAGTCATGATGGGACCTCAGAAGTCTGGGCATATTAGCTCTCCAAAGAAAGACAGGAGACTTCAGGTAACTCTTCTTTCCTCCTATCCCTGGATAAACTGCCATAAGAGGCAATAGTTCACATGGCTTTTAGCAGACCTTCCTGTGAGAGCCTGCAGTCAGTTGCTCCTGACACTAAGCGATGTTTAGTTAGATGGAAATAATCAGTCTGGTAATCACTTTATATTTGACTCTTCTTCTCTACCTCTTTCCTTTTTTTTTTTTTAAATCATTCCTGCTTCTCTGGCAGTGAATTTCCTAATAAAATATAAGATTTTGCTTTAAGAGTCTATTTTCTAGAGAACTCAGTATAAGACAAATCAGAATGATAGCAGAATCTCTAGGGGATAATCTTCTTTATTTTCAGTGTTGCTGATAGAGTATTGTTTATGCAACAAACACACTTTGGTAGAATAACACTTTCTCTCAATTATAGTTTAATTATTTTGTTTATCTCTCCATCAAGCAGGCTGGCCATCTGGCAAACTGATTTGTAGGCTGACAAGAGGCTTGAAACTCACTAAGTGAGACAAAGTCTAAAGCAGGACATATGGGACCCCTCTTTGCTCTAGGAAAAACTGCAGGGTCCAAGATGTTGAGGTACAAAGTAGTCTTTCCTTAAGCTTTGTGCCTCTGGAATAATTTTGGTATTTGATCTTTTCTCTTTTGAACACAAGGCAGTAGACACTGATCCATAACAGCTATGGGTCAATTTTTAGCAGACTTAGAGATATTAGATGGCAGGAAGGTACTAAAGTTAGTATAAAACTAACTATAAAACTAAGGTGTATAGAAACGCTATAAATCAATGAATATAGTGAACATGTACAGTGAATACATATTACTTTTGTAATGAAAAATACATGCTATTTCCTTCTCTCACATTTCCTCATAAAAGGTAAGTTACCATACTTTTTTCTTTTGTAAAGCTAAAATAAAACAAAACATCTATAACCGAGTCTTACCAGGTCCCAATTCCCAGTAACCCAGTGACAGCAGAGATGCTCATTGCAGGGTTCCGTGGATGTGGGCCTTTTTGTCCAATCACAGAGGCCTCCTGGACAAGACACTCCTCTCTCATGAACTCCCCCTCCACAGGACCTGGAACACTGATATACAGTAGGAACAAGATTAGGTAAAAGTCAGGCAGCAATGTGTTCAATGATGAGGGGAAAACATCTTACTATCATTTTTGTTGTGTATTGTTATGTTATTGGGAATATTGGTATCTGTGTTGGAACCTTTAGCATCCCTGTAGGTTTCTTACAAAGACCGCAGTGTTTGTTTAAAGCAACCATGGTAAAACAAGAATTACAGAGAGGGAAGAAGATTGATTCGTTGGTGAAGAAAATTTTGAGGAAAAGAAGAGGAGACGAATCAGAAGATTCCAAATGGTCCAATGTCAAACATTATGTCAAAAGGAAGAAATTTTGGTTAAAAACCTAAATGAGCAGTCATTCCAGAATAGAAATTACAGTATCTGAATTTTGCCTTCTGGTACAAATTTCTATAAATAAAAATATAAAATTTAGATATCTTTATAGTGACTATCTCTGACAGCTCAAAAGGAGCACACATTTGCGATACAATTTTGTTTGCCTCTTATTAAAATCAATCTTTCTTTCCCCCTACAGAAAGTTTTAGAAGCAAATTTATCCATATTAGGAGTGGTGGAATAGGTGGATTTATTCAAGATTCTGGCATATTTGCTATAATGCTCACAAAATAAATTCAAGATGCCAAAATGGATTCCCAAAGGAACACAATTCTAAAACATGTCAATTTTTGCTCACTAGAGTAGTTGTATAAGATACACTGACTCATTTTCATGAGGTTTCTAAGAAGAAATTAAAGAAGTCACAAGAATCTTTAAAAACTACTTTGAGTACTTTAAAAAGCACTTTGAGGCCGGGCTCAGTGGCTCAGCCTGTAATTCCGCGCTTTGGGAGGCCGAGGTGAGTGGATTGCCTGAGCCCGCAGGTTCGAGACCCGCCTGGACAACTTGGCGAGCCATCGTCTCTACAATAAATAAATAAATAAATTAGCTGGGCGTGGTTGCGCACGCCTGTAGGTCCAGCTACTTGGAAGGCTGAGGCGGAAGGATCGCTGGAGCCCAGCAGGTCGAGGCTGTGGTGGCCGGGAGCGGCCACTGCACTCCAATTTGGGCGATGGAGTGAGACTCCAACTCAAAAACAAACAAACAAACAAACAAACAAACAAACCACACTTTGAAAAATGCATAGCATGGTTATAACAACAACAAAACTATTATGCTTATCTTGTGAATATCACGTCCATCATATCAGGCACTATGTGTGTGGTGGTACCATAGATACATGGAAATTATATACAATTAACCTCTTCTGCTCAGTAAAAGCACTGATGTATTACTGCCACGATACTCCAGGTTTGAGAATCAACACGAATCTTTTCCCCCATTTATTTGATGTTTTTAACCCCATCTGTGGAGAGAAGGGGACAAATTTCACATCTGGGATTCCTGTACATATTATCTTCCTGCATATAGATTCAGGGCCACTAGGCCAAGTAATTTCCAGGAAAAGCGGGGTAAAGAGAGTGTACAGCAGGGGTTCTCAAAGTGTGGCCCTCAGACCAGCAACTTCAAATGCAATATCTGCTCCACCCCAGGTCCTTTAACTAGACTCTCTGAGAGTATGACCCATCCATCTGTGTTAACAAACCCTCCAGGTGATGCTGAAGCATGCTAAAGTTTGACTGCCTCTGGTATAGAGATGTTCCTGCAGCTAAGATGTATATGCCATGGAGGCTGGATTGGCTGACATTTACTGAATGAGTGCAGAACATTCCTAGGGTGGCAACCAGCATCATGGTGAGTCAGGGAAAGTGCCTGAAAATGCCCACTCCCTTAACAGTAGCCCCAGGCACTCAACTGACTCTTACATCTTCTAATCCCTACTGCTCCCTTGTAAGAAAGTCTGTCTACTGTGGTCTGCTCAAAACAGAGCAATTTTAATGCTTGTCTTGTGAATATCGCGTCCATAATATCAGGCACTGTGTGTTAGAAGGGCTGCAGGAAATAGTCTCATGATGGGGGTCCTAGAAGTTACTGAGAAAACATAAAGAATATATCTTCTTCACAATCAGAAAGATTTGATTGCTCATCTATGACAACCTGCAAATACCATTTCTCTGACCAGGCAATCTAAGCTTCTTTGTGAACTCCTGGATTATGAAAGCTGTCACCTGAACAGGTGCAGGCCAGGCTCAGTATATAGGGAGAACTTGGAAGCCTGGGTCCAGAGCATGAGAAAAGCAGGAAGTTCATGTACTCCAGAAATGGGTAAGGGAAGGAAGGGAAAGAGGAGATAGCAGTGGTTGATGTTCCAGAAAACTCCAGGCAGTGGCCCAGAACCTCAAGAATCAGCATGGAGAAAGAATTCTCTATGGAATTCTTCACAAGTGGGCAATAAGTAGCTCAGGGCTCTGTCTTCCATAGGAGTTGACACTAACTCTGTATCTTCAGGTTGGGATTCTCCACCTTCTCCACCCTGGTTTATGATAGGCTCCCACCCCAGATAGTTATTGATTCACTCTTTCTCCTAAGTTCACTCTGCTTAATACCCACTGGGCTAAGTTCTATATTAGAAAGAGCAGAGGTAGTGGAGTCTACCTTATGTTTGAACTAATACTTTACCCTTTATTTTCTAGTGGCGTGTCTCAGTTAGGTTTCTCAATCTCTCTGAGTCTCAATTTTTTTTTTTTTTTTTGAGTTGGAGTCTCACTCTGTTGTCCAGGCTGGAGTGCAGTGGCATGCTCATGGTGACCCCGTACTGACCAGCTGGGCTCAGGCAATCCTTCCGCCTCAGCCTTCCAAGTAGCTGGAACTACAAGTGCATGCTGTCACACTCAGCTATTTTATTTTATTTTTTTATTTTTTTATTTTTATTTTTGAGTTGGAGTCTCACTTTGTCACCCAGACTGGAGTGCAGTGGCCGCTGCCGGC